CCCCCCCGCCTCCCCCCCTCCGGCCCGGGCCCTCTCCGGCCGCTCCGGGCCCTGTGGGCGGGCGCGGGGGCGGCCTCCTTCCCGCCCGGCCTCCCTCGGCCCCGCCGCTTCCTTCCCCCGCAGCGCCGAGGCCCGGCTCGCCGCCCCGTCGCCATGGGCGCCGCCCGCCACCACCGGCTGCTCCTCCTGCTGCTGCTGGCGGCGGTTTGGGGGCCGTGTTTCTCGGGGGGGCTCCCCTCGCCACAGCGGCGGTGGCCGGTGCCTTACAGGTGAGTGTCGCGGGGAGTGGGGGGCCCGGCGGCCGCTGAGGGGGGAGAGGGGCGTCCCCGGGGCTGCCCGGCACGGCGGCCTGTGCCTGACACACCTCCTCTTCCTCCTCCTCCTCTTCCTCCTCCTCCTCCGGGGACCGTCAGCTTTCTGTTTTGTTAGTTTGTGTAATTTTTTAGTGTAAAAAGGCCATGAATTTGGTGTATTTAGCTCAGGAGTGTAAGAGAGTGGGTGTCCCTGGCCTACAGCCGCGCTGGCTCAGCTGCCCCCCCGGCGGACGACTGCCCTTGCTCTAAAGGTGCTCCTTTTAATTCCTGTTTTAGCACAAGAGTTGTGATGAGGAAGTCGGGCAACGATTTATTTTATTTTTTAAGTGGAAGTTTACTTCATGCTTTTCACTGAAGCAGTGTCGAGTTCCCTTCGCCACAGAAGGCAGCCTGGTGCTGTTTGGGGAAAGCAGAAGGGGTGCCTGTGCCCCCCTTCTGCTGGAGCAGGGAGCTTTGGTCGTACTGAGGAAAAGAGCCTCTTCAGCAGAGGAATGAGCCTCTTCAGGCACAGGGCTGTGCTTACATGTGGATTTTGTGTGGGCTTGCTGTTTGTAAAAGGAGGTGTTAGAGTTTAACTGCGCTCTCTCTTAATGCACGCCCGAAATTTTGAAAGCCCCTTGCGTAATTGCCTCGCAGTTCGATTACTGTCAGGTGATGCCTTGAAGGAGCCGATCTTGCCGTCATGAGTTGTCCTTGGGGTTTTTCCAGTGAGTTCAGTAGTTGCAGGGCTGGGTCTCTGGGTGGTCAAAATCGGGAGGACAAGCTGGTCAGTGTGAGACACTCAGAAATGTGGTGTTTTATTGCTTCTTAACGGGCTTGTTACCTTCTTGTCACAGGCACAGTGCAGTGTGAGGGGAAAATGCAAATGTGAGGTATGCAATTTAGAAACAGATCTTAAATGTCTGGCTGGCCTAAGTCTTTGTTTTCTGTATATTCTTTTCCCAGCCATGCTCTTCTCTTTCTCTCTTTCTTCCTCCTCCCCGCCATGGCCCCGGACAAAATAAAAGCAGACATGGTGAAGTACCCAACAAGCTTGGAGAAGAAGCCCACAGGGAAAATCTGTGCTGTCTCAGCAGGGCTACTGGCCTTACTATGGCTCAGGAAATCCCGTGTCCCTGAGTCATCTCATGGCTGTGGTATTTGTGCCACTCAGTAGCCCTGGGCAACTGAGTGTGTTAGACTCTCAGGCTGTGCTCCGGGCAAGCTGTGTTTGCCTGTCTGTCTTGCTAACAGGAATATAGGAACCTTGTTTTATGTGAAATACAGAGAGTGAATTTGAATGAAATTGAGTGAATGAAATTGAATGAAATTGAATCTCTGGCCATGGAGGCAAGGGGGAGGGTATGGAGAGAGGAAGTTTTTCCTCCAGTAGAAGAGGACCAGGTTCGGGAGCACTTGGCCAAACTGGACATTCATAAATCCATGGGCCCTGATGGGATGCACTTGTGAGTGCTAGAGAGCTGGCAGATGTTATCTCTGGGCCACTCTCTGTCATCTTTGAAAGATCATGGAGAACAGGAGAGGTGCCTGAAGACTGGAGGAAGGCCAACATCACTCCAGTCTTCAAAAAGGGCAAGAAGGAGGACCCTGGGAACTACAGACCAGTTAGTCTCACCTCCATCCCTGGAAAGGTAATGGAGAGACTGATTCTAGAAGTCATCTCCAAACAAGTTGAAGAGCAGGGGGGTTATTGGAAGTGGGCAACATGGGTTTACCAAGGGTGAATCATGTTTGACCAATCTGATGGCCTTCTATGATGCTATAACTGGTTGGCTGGATGAAGGAAGGGCAGCAGATGTCATCTACCTTGACTTCAGCAAGGCTTTTGACACTGTCTCCCATAACATCCTCATTGGGAAACTAAGGAAGTGTGGGCTGGAAGAGGGGATAGTGAGGTGGATTGAGAACTGGCTGTGTGACAGCACCCAAAGGGTAATGATTAATGGAGCAGGTTCAAGCTGGAGACCTGTAACCAGTGGTGTCCCCCAGGGGTCAATACTTGGTCCAATCCTGTTCAACATATTCATCTGTGACCTGGACGAGGGGACAGAGTGTATCCTCAGCAAGTTTGCTGATGATACCAAACTGGGAGGGGTGGCTGACACCCCGGAGGGCTGTGCTGCCATCCAGAGAGACCTGGACAGGCTGGAGGGCTGGGCAAGGCAGAACCTCATGAGGTTCAACAGGGAAAAGTGTAGGGTCCTGCACCTGGGGAAGAAGAATGTCAGGCACCAATACAGGTTAGGCACGGATCTGCTTCAGAAAAGTTCTGAAGAGAAAGATCTGGGGGTCCTGGTAGACAGCAAAATGACAATGAGCAAGCAGTGTGCTCTTGTGGCCAGGAAGGCCAATGGAATCCTGGGCTGCATAGAGAAGAGTGTGGCTAGTAGGTCGAGGGAAGTCATTCTCCCCCTCTACTCTGCACTGGTGAGGCCACAACTGGAGTACTGTGTCCAGTTCTGGGCTCCCCAGTTCAAGAGGGACAAGGAACTACTGGAAAGAGTCCAGCGAAGGGCAACAAAGATGATTCAAGGACTGGAGCATCTCCCTTATGAGGAGAGACTGAGAGAGCTGGGACTCTTTAGTCTGGAGAAGAGAAGGCTGAGGGGAGACCTTATCAATGCCTATAAGTACCTAAAGGGTGGTTTGAAGGAGGTGGGAGCCAGACTCTTTTCAGCGGTTGCCAGTGAGAGGATGAGGGGCAACGGGCACAAGTTGGAACATAAGAGGTTCCACTCAAATATGAGAAAAAACTACTTCACAGTGAGGGTGACAGAGCCCTGGAACAGGCTGCCCAGGGAGGTTGTGGAGTCCCCTTCTTTGGAGATTTTCAAGATTTGCCTGGATGCAGTCCTGAGTAACATGCTCTAGCTCTAGGCAATCCTGCTTCAGCAGGGGAGTTGGACTAGATGATCTCTATGGTCCCTTCCAACTCTAAAAAATTCAGTGAAATTCAGTGAGAAAGGAGGACTTGTCAGAAAGGTTTTCACTGTTTGTATATAGTGCGATATATAAGCGGATTGGGTCTTCACTTTTCGAGGTTTGATAGGAATGATGAATGGAAACAGTCATCGTAGGTTCTTAGGCCTCTTTATCTAAGTTAAATCCTGTTTCTCCTGATGTGCACCTCAACAGCCTTATGAACTTGTACACTCCAAGTGCATCACAGAATGTGTCCCTGGGGGTGGCTGCACACTTGAGGTTTGCCACTCAGGCCCCTGGGAAGCCATGGGACAGTTACTCCAGCCCTGAAGCTGGGCTTATGGTTCTTTGTGCTTCTCTTTCTCAACACAGGCGCTTTGATTACCGTCCAAAAAGTGATCCCTACTGCCAAGCTCGCTACACCTTCTGTCCCACTGGCTCTGCCATCCCAGTTATGAAAGAAGAAGATGTCATTGAAGTGTATCGATTACAGGCTCCGGTGTGGGAATTCAAATATGGGGACCTACTGGGACATTTGGTAAGGTGGCGGTTTTGTTTAACGCAGTTATAGTGGAAAATTCAGCGGAATTCAACAGCAGGTGCCAGAGTGGGAGCTGTAAGGCTGGGATATGCTTATATGGAAGAGTATTGGAGCACACAAGCTAGGCTGTCTAGGGGAAAGATACCCAAAGAGCAGTACATTTCCAACAAAAAGTTGCAGAATGTAGCTCAGCTGAAGAAAACAGCATGACCAGTTTGGATGTGTTCCCCCCCTGGAGCTGCAAATTGGGAGGTTTTTTTATAAACAAACCATTACGTTTTGAGTGTCTTTTTTTTCTGCGCTAGCACTGCATCAAGAAAATAACTTTTATTTGTCCCCTTATGTCAGATTAAATGATCTCTTAGTGTATTAATTTTTCTGTTGTTAAAAACTTTTATATTTGCATGAACGTGGATATCTATCAAGAGTAGACACCAACTGGTCAGAATGGTGGATCATGGGGCAATGGTTGTTTTCACATTTCTTTCTGGAATGATATGATCAGTATTGAATTAAAGTCTCCATTCATGGAGTCATGCAGATATGAAAATCTCAGCTTTAGTAATATTTATAGCTGTATATAATTAAGATTCAAAGCATGATTCCTAATGAATAAGCAAAGAGTAGTGAATAGGAAATAGTAACATCAAAACCAAGTGTGGAGTCAAAAATGGAAATAGCTTCAAATATTGTTATCTTGGTTGGTAAACTAAGGTCTAATTTATGTATTTACTATACGGCTTCTAAAATAAATATTTATCTCATTCCTTTTGTGACCTTCATTACCAAGATCTGGTTTTGGTAACTCAGTTCTGCTCTTTATTTCTTTGATACCCCTGGGAGGTAAAGGATTCAAAAGTAAGCTTGAGTTTTGGTGACGAGCTCCCACTGACTATCTGCCTCCAAAGAACAGGATTTACAGTGGATGGATAGACAAACACTGAGACAGTGTGACTTGGGGATAAAAGTATGTGTGTGATACAATCTAGTATTTCACGTGTTGGTGCTACTGAATCCAACATGTTATAGGAACCCCCTTCCCCTCTTCCCACCCTGTTACGCAAAAGCTCCCCAAGCGTCGTGTCTATAGGCTAAGGTCAAGTTGGTTTTATGTTAAAATTTTGGCTTTGGGGGCTATTTTTTTTTTTTTTTCCTTTTCCAGAAAATTATGCACGATGCTGTGGGTTTCAAGAGCTCTCTCACAGGCAAAAACTACACGATGGAGTGGTACGAGCTCTTCCAGCTTGGGAACTGCACATTTCCACATCTCCGGCCTGGCATGGACGCGCCGTTCTGGTGTAACCAGGGAGCTGCCTGCTTTTATGAAGGAATAGATGATGCACACTGGAAGGAAAACGGAACTTTAGTTCTTGTGACCACCATATCAGGTAGATTTCAGGTGCTTTGGATGGTGCTGATATAAAATATAGTCAGCTTTGTCTTGATGTAAAGCAGGTTCTTATAATTTATGTTTCGTAGGTTATTTGCGATGTTAGTCACTGATGCTAATTTCAAGCCAAAATACTATCTCTGCACTTTCTTTAATACAGAAAGTGGTATGAGGCTGCTGACTTTTAAACAATGCGCACTGAAGAGCTGTTAAATGAGAGTCATTTGGTGTTGCTGTGCAAAACCACTTGAGTCTCTTGAGTGTAAAAATAGCAAAACAGCTTATACAGAACCATTATGAACTCTTTTCACGTGGCTTCACCAAAACAAAGCCTTCTATTGTGAAGTGGCAGATGACTGCTGAGACAGAAAAACGGGGGAATATGTGTACATTACTGAGCAAACAAATAAGGCATATTTAGAAATAGTCTCAAAAATAAAAAAAGGATAATATATAAATCTCTATTTCCATCTCCCCCATTATGTGTCACAAAAATTGCAAATGTCCCCAGTAATAGGTCTCTATCATATGTCATAAAACAAAAGCAGGATTTGCACCTCTAAATAAGATTACCAGAATAGCTTCTTGGTACATGAATATATACTGAACACCGAAATTCTAAAAGAAAAAGGTCATTTAAATAAATGTGGCTGATTAATGTAGTAGTACAGTGAATGACTTGGGTGTTCCCAAGTCTCCTGAGGATTTGGAGAGTTGCTTGTAGCTCACGACTGAAGTCTTTGATGCCCAATAGGGGTTGTATTCTTTTGTATGAATACCAAGTGAAATATTTTCATGATATTGTGGTACTTGTAATGCTTCCTGCCCCTGTGGATTGTTCGGGTGAGGTTATGCTGGAGGGATGTGGAGGTATTGTTTCGGTCCTCCGTGTCTCTCTCGCTTCCTGTTTCCATGGAACTTTTAGGAAGGTGGCATCTCTGGGAGTTTTGAATTGTCTGAATTCGACTAGGAATCGGAAAGTTCCTGTGGAAGAGGGTGAATGGCTGCAAGCACAGATGGACAGGGTCATGAGCTGGGCTTGCTGCCTTCACAGAGCAGGCAAAAAGCATCCCATCTCCTGGGAGAGGGCTTCAACGCCTGACACATCTGGACTCTCTTTGCCTTTGCATGATCCTACGGAGCTCTTTGTCAGCAGTGTCAGAGAGCACATTGAAGCATTCTCATTTTCTTTTAAAGCCCATCAACCAGGTTAATGTTACTTTCAGGGCATGTTTCTTTTATGGAAATAGGGCAGGAATATCCGAAGTCTGATTTTTGACAGACTAGGCGTCTTCCAACAGACTAGCACGGAGCCGTGCATTAACCTGTAATACTTTTGTTTAAGATGTTAAGGCCAGAACTTCGTATTAAGTTCATCTCGGTCTTGTTAGGAGAGACGAATCCTTTTCAGTAACATGAATGCACATGAGGAAGCTAATCTGGTAGGAGTTAGATAAGGACATAGGTAGGAGTAAGATAAAGGGGAGCTTGAACCCTGTCTAGAGTGCATACTAAGTACATCTCTTGATACAGGTTTAAACAACTGGCTGTTTTATTAAACCAAACCACGGGCAATTAAAAAAGAAAGTATCCAACACTTTCACTGAATAGAAAGGTCGTTAATGCTTACTGTGCAACAGTCTCCCTGATTTTCCAGCAGCTGCCAAGCCCAGTTGCTGTACCCGTGGCAGTGACACTGGCAGCTAGAGAGAGGCCATGGCTTGGAACGCTGTCACGATTGCAAGCTGTCATCTGAGTCTGTCTTCTGATGTATGGCACAACAAGAATCTCCAAAAATTGGCCATGCTGTGAATGTGAGGTGCTTGACGAATTTGAGTCACAGATGGTTGTACCTTGTGCAAAAAGAGGGCAGGAAGGGCAAGGTTAGGACTGCAGGAAAAACAAAAGAAGGAAGATTAGTCCTGTCTTTCCGCTCTATTTTGGGGAGGCAGATGCATCACTTGTATGGAGCTGCCAGAGGGGTGAGCTGACTTAGAGATGTCTTCCTCGTTCCAGCTGTGAAACCACCAAAACACTCCAAGCATGTATGCTAAATCAAAAAAAAGATAATCCACAAGGTCTTCAAGTTAACTGGTCCTCACATCCCACTCCTATCGTTTGGCTTAGTTCAGCTGTGCTGTCTGTGGAGCTGCTAAACCAGCAGGGTGTCTCAGTTTGAGGTTTCTGTTGTGGGGAGATGTGAAAATTTCTGCCCTGAATTGAGTTAAAACTTGAGGAAGTGCAAAAACACGTTGTTGTGCTGGTGAGCACTTTGTCAGCATCTCTTGTAGACTTGTACAGCCTGCCCAGTTTGTCTACATGGGTGAAACGGAACGAGAAGTGTCCTGGTTCCCTGAGGTTTGGATGTTCTGGTGTAGTGGCGGGAAATGGGGCAGAAAAAGAAATTAGAGTTTAAATAACTTACATGTAAATACAGTTTACTTAGTGAGGTATTACTTCTCCCTCCAACCTAAGCCCTTGTGTCTTTGTATGGTCATGTTCATAGAATCATAGAATCATAGAATCATTGAGGTTGGAAGAGACCCTTGGGATCATCGCGTCCAACCATCTACACTACTCTACAAAGTCCTCCCCTACACCATATCCCTCAGTACCGCATCTAAACGTCCCTTAAACACATCCAGGGATGGTGACTCAACCACCTCCCTGGGCAGCCTATTCCAATGCCTGACCACTCTTTCAGTGAAAAATTCCTTCCTAATGTTCAATCTAAACCTTCCCTGTTGGAGCTTGAAGCCGTTCCCTCTCGTTCTATTGTTAATTACCTGTGAGAAGAGACCATGTTGTAGGTGAACTTCTACAGGGAAGGGAGGCGAACCTTGAAATAGATGGAAAATATTTTGAGTCGTGTATTTGTTCCCTTTTCTCTGTACCGGTTGTTTTTCCTCTCTTAACAGGAACCATGTTTAACGAAATGGCAAAATGGGTAAAATACGACAACGAGACTGGCATTTACTACGAGACCTGGACAGTTCAGGCAAGTCCCCACAAACAGTCAATCGTGTGGTTCGACTCCTACGAATGCTCTAAATTTATCCTGAGGACGTACCAGAAGCTGGCTGACCTGGGAGCTGTATTTCGGAAGGTACAAACAAACTACACGAGCATAATTTTATTCAGCGGCGAACCCATTTATTTGGGAAACGAAACATCTATTTTTGGATCACTAGGAAACAAGACATTGGCAGCAGCTATAAGAGACTTCTACTACCCCTTCAAACCTCATCGGACGGTCGGAGGGTTTTTTGTGGATCTTTTGAAAATAATTGATCGCGTCATCTTGAATCACCAGTTTTACCTCTTCTACAACTTGGAATACTGGTTTTTACCTATGAAATACCCTTATCTCAAAATAATTTATGAAGAGGTCCCTTTACCTACTGGAAGCAAAACATCCTTTGGTGTGTAATTGCTTACTGAAGAACGGAACTTGCCCTTATGCCAGAACATCCTTAGGGATTTTTGGAGCGCTACCATGATGGTATTAGTGGTGTATGTATGTTTCACTGCCAACTCTCAAAGTTGTGTTGGGAAGGCTTTGCTAGACCACACGAAAGACCATGCCTTTTCTTCTTATTACCTGCATAATACGTTCATGAATGCTTCAGCATCTCTGACTTGGCCACCTTCTGTGTAACCACGGACAACTGCTGCCCGAAGGTAGGCTGATGTGGCTCCTCTTGGCTAAACTCTGCAGTGCCTGAGGGTGAACGGGAGGCCTGGTCTCAGGCCTTCTCCACATACATGGCCACATGGTGGTAAATAAGACCTGGCCACCAACAGAGGTGGAACACAAGCATTACAAGGACCTTCTGGTCTGACTAACTCAGCTATCCATGTATTGGAGCTAACAAACGTGAGTGCCTAGATATGCCCAGCTCCTTCAATGTGTGCCTTACATCAGTGTTTCTGTATTTCTTTGGTTTGTACAAGAGGGACCTATGAACTTTTCTCTGGTTCATGAAGTAGGCGTGCCACGGGGTGGGAAGGGGCCGTGGATCTAGTAGAAGATGGCACGGGTGGTATTTTGTCACCATTTTGCTTCCTTCACAATACAGATGGCTCTTCCTAAGATTTGTGTGTGAGTTTTCTAGCACAGATAGAAGACAAACAACCTGATTTCACCTCAACTTGGATGCCTAACTGCAGGATTTCGGTCCTGTTCTGGGCTGTGCCTACAGCAACTTGGCAACCCCTTCCCTTCAGACCCCTCTGACCAACGCCAAGGGAACACTGGCTTCCTGGAGAGCAGCGAGGTTGCCTCCAGACAAAAAAACCCACCCACACCCGCAGCAGCATAACCATCTCCAGTTCTTCACTGCTCGCTGTGAGGGTTTTTTTAAACCAGTTGCAAAACGAGGACTAACCTTCTGCAGAGGTTATTACTGCATCATGGCTAAGTAATTAGTAACAATTAGCTTTGATTCAACTCACAAGAATGGCGGAAAATTGACCTTGTGTTTATAAAATCACTATAAGTACCTACTTGAATTGTATTAGCGTGTCATGGGATGAGCATGAGGGCAGCTAGTGTGAGAGGAATTGGGCAATAAGAACAGCTCTGTTCTGCAGGGGAAAGTTGCTAATTAGTTCTGCTGTTACTTGAAACTTCATCTTCTACCTCAACTTGACACTCTCCGCAGCCAAAGTAACAAGCTTGTGCTTTAACCACCAGAATCATAGAATTATCTGGGTTGGAAGGGACCTTCAAGATGATCTAGTCCAACCACCAATGTAACTCTGATAAAAACCCTCACTAAACTAAGCACTATGTCAACCCGTCTTTTAAACACCTCCAGGGATGGTGCCTCAACCACTTCCCTGGGCAGCCCATTCCAATGCTGGATAACCCTTTCCGTGTAAAAATTTTTCCTAATATGCAATCTGAACCTCCCCTGGTGCAGCATCAGGCTGTAAGAGCTTCAGCTTCTATAGATTACCCACCAAGAAGGTAATCCAGGAGGCACTAGGGAAGATAAAGGGGAGCAACAAGCCTGTCTACAGAAGGTACGTTCTTCTTGATGCATGTCTTTATGACTTTGAACCCCTCAACGTTGTTGAGTCTGCGTTTATCCTCCCAGGAAAAAAAGCCTCAACCTCAAAACCAGAATCCCAAGCTCTGCAGGGGACATGGGATCATGGAGCCAAGCCAGGAGAAGCTCCCAAAGCTTCTTCTGCCTTGAGCAGTTCCTGGCGAAAAGGTGGGTGGTTGTGGACTAGTAATACCTAGAGAGATTATACGACAACTTGCCGTAACTGACAGAGGTAGAACCTTCATGATTGTTAAAGAACTTGGATCAAATCCTATGGATGTCTACATGAAAGAAGTAACCACTTCTCAGAGCTGTGCAAAATGCAAATTTGTGCTTCTGGCAGTACAGGTTTGTAACATCCTGGGCTTTTTGGAAGTAAGTAACAGCCCTTCTCCCTTTTCCCGTTTAATCTGTACAATCTGCTTAATGTAGCATGTTTTACTGTAACCCTAATACTCTGGCTGGCACAGGGAGTTGCTTCAAGGAAAAAGGAGTTATATCCTACCATGTGCTAGTTGCAAATTAGAGGGCAGTAAATTTCAGGCAACAGGAAAAAAAAAAGATAAGATGGAGACAACCGAACAGTTATTTATCATTGAGGACACTGCAGCCCTTCCAGTCAGAAGCAGGAAGAAGCAATTAAGACAGAATCTCTGAGTATATTCTGTAGGAGGACATACTGATGGCCATTTGATGGTTCCTCTCTGCAACCATGCGGGTGTACAAGTCTGTATCTCGCTTTGGAAGGAAGAGGATCTCAATCCTCATTTTAAGGTACTAATTATCAATGTCATAGTTGTCCATTTTTAAACATACACGAGGATGGTGTCAGTGATGGTGAGGTTCTTCTGGTTTTGAAGTCATCACGACTAGGGAATAACTTGAAAAGCCCTTCCACAAATCCCATCATATTTTCAGTCTAGGAAAACATAACTAGAATGAAAAGAGTCATCTCATGTCATGGTTAAAGCAGAAGTGGAAGACAGAGCAGAAAGCACACCAGGGTCTCTATTTCAAAGCACACAAGCTCCAGCAGCCAGCAGCGGATGGGATCCTACGAGAGAAACCTAATGAAAAGGATGAATAGGTGAACGTGCAGAACATCTAAGGTTAATCGTGCTTTCACCGTCCTAGTTTTGATACCGTTCAACCATCTCTCCAAGGAACCTGTTTCTACAGCACCTGTATTTTAGGAAAATTAATTTACAGTTTGCAATCTGAACAAGACACTGAAGTTCTGGGTCCCCTTAAGATTTCACGAATTTCCTCATTAAATGAATGCTCCAGTTTTAGGTACAGCAGCAGCACTTACATTTACCATTCCACATGCAACCAACTAGGCCAGCTGAGGATCAAGACAGAGCTCTCTGAATTAATGCAACCAAGTTCAGGTTGTAGTCAAGCCTACTCCAAATGCAAAGTTTCTAGATTTGGGCAAATCACAGGAAATTACAGAATTAATGTAACCAGCTTAAATGACTTAACTCTTAAATCACTCACCTTTTCACTTCTGACACAACTTCTCACTGTAAGCTGGGACAGCCGGCCAGGATTACCCCAGCTGGTTGGCATCAACAGTAATTTGCTATCCAAAAATGGAAGTAGTGTCCCACTGGCATTCTGAGGTGAGACTCGACACTGGACACCTTAACTACTCCTACCCAAAATTGGGCAGGATTATCTTCTGAAAACAAGAAGAAATAAAGGTGAACCCAGGGAAAATTAATTTATACAGCTGTAAGACACCCGTGTTCACGTTTCTAGTGAACTTTGTGACAGTCTGTGGTACTCTTGTTACTACTCTGATCATGATTTTTTTTTTTTTTTAATTCATTTTTTCCAACTGTAATTGGTCTGATGTATAAAAACTGACGACCTTCATTGGAAGGGAGAGACACAACTGCTTTGAAGTAGTTTTCTTATCCTTGAACATTTTGATAACTGTTATGATACTGTGTCACACCTATGAAGGACTTTTTGAAGTCTCCACAAGACAACAGAGACCTTCTCAGAAGAGGCCAGCCCGCTTCCTTGCTGGGGAAAGAAAGCAGTTTCACTACAACTCCAGTACCTGAAAGGGGCTAAGGGGGGGAGGGGAAGGACTCTTTATCAGGGAGTGGAGTGATAGGACAAAGGGTAACAGTTTTAAGTTGAGAGAGGGGAGATTTAGATTAGGTATCACAAAGAAATCCTTTCCTGTGAGGGTGGCGAGACACTGGAACAGGTTGCCCAGAGAAGCTGTGGATGCCCCATCCCTGGAAGTGTTCAAGGCCAGGCTGGATGGGGCTTTGAACTCAATGATCTTTAAGGTCCCTTCCAACCCAAACCATTCTGTGATTCTATGAATGAAGCATAAAGCCTTGAACTGCTCAGATGTTCCCCACCTCAGGATCCAGCAGAGGTCTCCCTGTGGGAAGCAGGATACTGGGATTCAGGGACACGAACTCCAGAAGTGAGGGAACTTGGGTATTTGGGCTGTGTCTTGCCTTTCAGTTTTTGCCGCTGCTGCAGCAGTAACAGATCTATTCACCGCGCCAGCATCAGGACACCAGCAGTCAAGGTCCAGAGAGGTTTTAGCTGCATTTGAGATTACTTCTAACTAATGAGATTACTTCACACCTTAATTTAGTGAAAACATCTCCTATTCCCCACCTCAGAAGCGTTACTCCACCTTTCTCAGACAGGCAATTCAGAGAATCAGAATATAAAAAAACACTGAGCTTTTTTATTGTTACGGACTAAATGTATTGACACCTTTTATACAAATAAAAGCTAATTATAGTATTACATTAATTTAACAAATTCTAATACAAAAAAATGCATCTTTCATAAAACGTGATTTTTAAATCAAAGCTCTACAGAAACATACAACTCCCCTATAAAGATGTCCAGTCCACTGAGCAATGCTCAAAATAGAGTTATGAACTTAAATACGCTCATAAGTGTATTACACTTGAACTATACATTTGGAGAAACGTTACTGAAGTCAGAAATGAAGAAAATCGACCGATTCCCAGAACTGGCTGAACAGCTCAAAACAAGAAGCAGCCACCAGCTTTGTTGGATACAGCCTGGAGCCGGAGCAGCTCCACCCCTTCCAAGGCATTCAGCAGTCACCTGAACACTTTAGCCTCACCAATCAAGAATATAAAAAAAAAAAAAAAAAAGAAAATGAATGTAAGTGTTGGCGGTAAGAAATGAAGTCACAAGCCACATCCAGATCACAGGCAATACGTTGCCTACACCGATTACAGACTAAGAACTTCCTTTAATAAAACTGATTTACCAAATATTCAAAACAAATTTCTGCCTACTGCTCTACTTCACGCAAGTTTACTGCTTTTAAGTTTTTTAAATAATTAAGAAACGATCAAACTAGCTGGATTAAAGGTATACAAAATGATCATCTATCAAACATTCACTTTATACATAAACATTTCTGAAACAGATTTACAGTATACAATTAGTTTATACAGCTTAAGCAACTGTTACAATGTCATTTCTCTCAAATCGAAAGCAGCCAAATGGTCTAAGATTTTGTTAAAAGGTTCTTGGTCACTGTTCAAATTTTAACTTTCTTGTCTCACATTCACGTCATCACATTTAACACTGCAGGGTTCATTTAACAAACTATACATTATTCCATCTAACCCTATGCTGCAAAACCAGTTAATGTGCAAGACCAGCTCATTAACTCCAATGTGGTTTTAAATACAATGTATCTACATTTTTCCCAAGAATGCTTTCGCTTCCTGAGCTAGACATAAAATACCTTAAAACAGGTTAAGACACAGATCTGAGCCCCCATAAGCAAACTATATTAAAATGCCTGGGGGGGGGGGGGCCCCCCACCACTTTTGGTAGCTCGCACTACGATTTGTTTGCGCTCTAAATACATTTTAGATGGATCTGATAATCTGTTGAAGAAGGTAGCAAACTTAATAGTTTAATTGTCTAAACTGTATTACTGCGTATTGCTCTTGTCTTTTATGACTTTATATAAAAGAACATGTATATTTCACAGCCTACTAAATACTCCTTGCAATCTTACTCTTGTCATCTAGGTGACTAGATTTAGAAATCCTACAGTCTGCAACAGAAGCATGCAATTCCGGTGGAGTTCTGTTTGGTTTTTAAAATCAAATCTAATCGTGCTCAATACTAGTATCCAAATCAAAAAATGGATTGGATATTAAAACTGATATTTTGCAGGTACATTTCTATATTTTAAACACTTTTTTTTTATTTCCATCAAAGTTTCAGGTTGCTGTCAATGAAAAAGAACAAATCTAAACCAGATTTTTGTTTGGATGAAAATGGGTTTTGGAGCTATCCGTGATTTCTATTTTTCCATCTGCATTTCATAAATCATTTTTGAATGAAAAAATTGATTTTCTAATCAAACAGTGTAGTACCTTATAGTAAAAACTATAGTATTAAGTAAGCTTATACAGTAGATTACAAAACGGTAAGCTTGGGTTTAAGGTGCTATTCCATCCACCCCGAAGTCTCTTTAGGACTTTACCACGTGGGCATCATGTCTGGGAACCAGACTCTCCCGAGATGCTTTGAAACCTCCCAGTGAATCTGCTCCAAGCTGTATTTCTGATCGGGAATCAAAACTTCCTCCATGATAGAGAGCTGAGAGAGCCGACCGCCACACATCTTCACAAACTCCACAAAGGCACTGCAAGAGACTTCACACTCCCCTAGGCCCACGGCTGACAGGTAC